CCCGCAAACATTACGGCTCCAGTGGGCACCCTCGTAACGTTCTACTTTCCAAACGCGTTAGTACTTGTGCGTTCCTCTGTTGCCCGAAACTTACTGAACGTCGAGCAGTGGGTTGCAGCATTCCGTGACCCAGTCAGCATTTGAAAGTCCATGTGTCCATCTTGCTGCTACGTCGGACTCGCCCACGGGATTCGACTCAGGTCTGACGCAGGCTTCTACGTTCACGATTAATATCACAGATACGCAACGTAAGTGCAACCCTTGCGGTAGTCGTATTGAATAAGGATTGACAATATCTTCTTTTACAGCCATCTGGTTCCACTGCAAAATGGTGAGGTCTTTCAACAGGTAAGAAAAATCCTTGCTCACCAGATCATTGGTGCAGGCGACCCATTGCCTGAGCGGTATGGTCGGCAGCATTAATGCCCCGCCGACTGGAAATACGTTCGACGCGTTTATGACTGCTGCACGAGCCAGCACGTCGCCTACGGTAGGCTACGGCTTGTCGCCAAAAGAAAGGGTCGTTAAACAAACATTTTATAGGAACCTGACAATGGCCCAGTACTCGGCGGTGTCCACGGTGTGGCCATAGCTGGACCTACAAGTAGCACTGGTACTTCGACCGGTGGAGGCACTTCTGGTGCAGTTAAGGTCACGGGAAGCACAGGTGCTGCACTCCTCTCCGTCGTGCTGGCATTCTTCTTGGCTTGAGGGGATCACATGAGATGTCGCGTCCCAGAGCCCAGCATCAACGGAGGTGATACTAGATGGATATAAAACATTCTTTACCTTAGGGACGTTTTCGAGATTCGAGACTCAGAGGACCAGGCAGCAATCCATTTACGATATAGACGATATAGAATGATTGTTTCATTTAAGCTCTAGTTCGGCGAGCCTGTCTGTGGCCACTAGAGGTTATTTGCACCTCGAATATTCCTAGAATCGTACAAATCTTATTGGCTCAAGGAGGCCCCAAGCCAATCGGATTCACGGATTTGTGGAGCCCTCAGAACTGCAAATAACCTCTACTGAGTAGAACTGGCGCGTAAATTGAGCAGATGATGGTCAACAGAGGGAAGTTCAATTGTGGTGGCTGTGCATCAGTTCCCAGTAAGGTGGCAAAATACCCTTTGCGGGGTTTGGACATACACCACCACGCGCCGCAGTTTGTGCATGCAGAGAGGCCTGTACTTACTCCACTCAACAGGCGTCCCTCTATCCTGCACCATCATTCCTCTCGGATCCGGCGTCTGGACGCATGCAGAGAGGCCTGTACTTACTCCACTCAACAGGCGTCCCTCTATCCTGCACCATCATTCCTCTCGGATCCGGCGTCTGGACTCTAAAGTATCATGTTCGCCAAGATTTCCCCCAAGTTCACCGCTCCGTTTGGCCTGCTTGGGGATGAAGCGAAGCTTGCCTTCCCAAGTCAGCCAAATGGCGTCACGAAACTAGCCACCGTTCGCGTGCGTATTTGAATACTCGGAAGCACTGCATCTAAATCCACGATAGCATATGCCAACGTCGGATACATACTGGGAACAGGTGCGTTACACTCCAATCATTCGTTCTTCCCGTGCTCATTGCTCATCCCAGTATTTCGTTCTCTTCGACTCTGCATCGGATGTTTTCTCCCTCATAACCCCTCACCACGGTGTGTTCTATGGTTCAGCTCAAGTTGTGTTCTCATCCATCTTTCCTGGCAGTCCGCCGTGCTCTCAGCGAAGCCCCCGAGAATGTCGCCACATTAATTCAAGTTATCACCGCCCGCCTCTTCAATCTGATATCGGACCACACATTCCCGTCTTCGACACCAGCATCAGTGACGTCCTATGCCACATCTTTCATCAAGAGCGCAAGTTCGTCTCATGAGAAGAGCCCTACGAAGGAGGTCCTGAATTGTGTGCGCGTCCTTCAGCGCGTCCTACCCGTTGTTTTCGAGGTGCAAGGAGAATCCAGTACATTTGAGCAGGAGGTTATATGGAAGAGGGAAGAGGTTTGGAACAGAGACGAACCTGCTGGGGAACCGCAGTTCGTCATCGAGGACGAGGATGAAGATGAGCCTCACAGCGAGAAGCAAACTGAAGGGGCAACCTCTCCCAAACCGAAACCAAAGACGAAATTCCTGCCCTCATTAGGGGAAAGGCTCTTCAACGCCATCACAGACCTTTTGTTTTGCTGCGGATTCACGCTACCCAAAAGCATACAGGTAGATCACCATAAGATTAACTATGTCATCTGGTACGTCTTGAATTTTAATTATCAAATACTGTTGATCCTATTAAATACTGACTTTAAAAACCAGGGAGAAAGGTGTCGGGTCGACTTCATCTCTTGGTAACAACACGGCATTCGATAGCAATAAAACCGAAGTGTTGCGCCTACTTCTTGTGCTTCTTTCCCGTCAGGTATACATCCCTGCTGCCTCTCTTTTCACCAAGCCCTCCTTGGCCTCCCTCCATATCGTTCAGAAAATGCCTCGGCGTGATGTGCTTACAATTTTATGTTCGCTACTCAATACTGCCATGAATTCGAGCACAACCGACACTATCACCATCGGAACAATAGCAGGCAAACTGCCCTATAATCATCTCGTCTTTAAAGGCGAAGACCCCAGGACAACGCTCATATCAACATGCCTGCAACTACTGTGCGTGTTGCTGGATTTCCAGAGTGGGTCTGCAAGGGACCCCATCGTCGATGGCCAGCCCGCTTCTCCGACTGCGAAAACAAACGCGTTCAGATACTTCATTGTGAAACTAGTGAGCTGTCCCCCCAAGCATGTTCTTTATCCGACTTCTGACGCTCGTGTTCCCATGAAGCATCGAACTCAAGATTTTGAATACCTGTTTGACGGAATGATGGGCATTCTGGAGCAGCAAACTGCAACGGTTAAAAATCTCCTTCCAGGTGCTAAAAAATCTCTACCTTACATGACGGAAACTAGTGAGTCTAGTTATTCCTCCTCACATGCTGAACACTTACGTGTTACCCAGTTATACTCTTTTGGAAGCTTATCGAACTCAACAAGGTGATTTGCTCGCTGTCGTGTCGTCAAGCATTCTGATGGTTTTGTTAGAAATTTTGTACCTATATCCTGGAGTCAGAGCGGTCAATGGACTTCATTGCCCATCTCCTGTTCTATTGCGTAGAAATAAAAGACAAACCTGGTAACGTATCGCCTTTCTTCTTGTACTGCACCACTGCTTACACTCTTGCAGAGCAACACGGTGTATGCAGGGCCATTTCATATATCATACAAACATTGTCAGCGGAACCAGGCTTTGGCTTCAGGATCACCAATCCGATTCGGGTTCAACTGCCTACGAAGTGGGGCCCAGTGGACACTGCTGCCGATTTCCTTATCCATGTAAGCCATATTGCGCTACTTGAATTGCTGGCCTGTATTGAATCCTCTTTACAGGCAGTTTATGCCGTTGTAGCAACAACCTCTGGCGCTCTGACGTCTTTATATCCTGCCCTTATCATTGCATTATCGAACGCAGCCCCTTTCTTCAAGAATATCGGCGTTTCATCATCTGCACGACTTCTACAACTGTTCAACTCTTTTTCGAATCCTCTTTTCCTATTATCGGATGAAGGCCATCCAAGGTTGCTTTTCTTCATGTAAGTCAATCGTGAACGCCTAAAATGTCTATTCTCATGACATGCGTAGGTTGGAGGTTTTCAGCTCGGTGATCTACTACCATCCTGCTGAAAACCCAAACATCACCTATGGGATCTTGCAGTCGCGCAAGGTATTCGAGGACCTGGGGACGTTCACTTTAACTCGGGGTCTCCGCGAGATCCAGAGAGTACAACTGGCGAAAGAGGAACTGGCCAAGAAAGTGAACAACCCCAAGGCCAAGGCGAAGGTTGAGGAAGTCGAGCTTGCGGATGCTGGTGCAGAGAAGGCCAGACTATTGGAAAGCGAAGGAGCAGGCCACCGTGGGTCACAGGAAAGAGATCTAGAGGTTGGTGGTAGTCCGCGTACATCTCAAGATGAAACGACAACGAGGTCGTTTGTATCCCCCACGTCTGACAACCCCTACGGAAATGTTGGATCACCTATATCAGAGAAGGCTCGAGGGAAAATGAGAGAGAGGCGGTCGTTGTCTGTCGACACTATCAATCCCTTGGATCGGGCCGCTATCACAATCGGTAGGAATGGCTTTGTACCAACTCAGGAATGGGTAAGTAACTTTACTAGAGATTTCTCCGTTGACTTATCCCATGAACCATCCCACAGGTCACATCTTGGCAACAAGGGTTTGTCTTCTAGTTCTTATTTGACGACTTGCAAGCTAACTTTCAGAACCAGACTTCCTCTAGACACGGTCATGATTTTTATATCGGACGTCATCCAAAAGGTTGAGGATATGCAAAGACACACGACCATACCTTCGTCAAGGGTCATCGAGTTTCTCTCGCACATAAAGTTGGACCACGTCTTTCCGACGAAGCCGCCCATCTCTGCTCGACGATTCATGGTAAGGATTCTGTTTTTTCGCTCGTCCTCCGTTCTCATGCTCAGCTTTTAGTGGTCTGATGCATCCTTGGTTTGGCTGACGTCGTTGATATGGGGAGAGATCTACGTCCGTGGCATGACTCCTCTTGGGATATGGAATGCGACAAATGTTCGCCTCTTCTTCGTTAAGCACTCACAAAGCCATCAGCGCCAGATTACAGAAACTGTGACCAATGTTGTCGGAGGCTTCTTACGAAGGACGTCAGAGACACAAGTGCGACAACGTGGTTCCTAAGTCCATCCCATCAAGGGGGTCTATGTGGGCGGCAGGCTTACATATCTTCATCAATGTATATAAATTAGGTTACTCATCGGAGCGTTGATGTAGTTAATATTCTTTCTTTTTTTCTACGTTAGTAAGGACATTCTGTCTTATAACACATGGCAAGATCAGAGGGAGTTCAAGAAAAAGGGTGAAGGTAACAACTCGATCAGATCGCTACTGCATTGTAGCACAAGATGTCCTCATCACGGATGCCTTCGAGTCCATGCCTTTCAAATGCCACATCAACACCTCAGAATAATGCAGAGTATAGGAAGTACTCACTTTGCCTTCAAATGCGATCGCAAGCCGTTGAGGTTGAATAAAGGAGGTGGCCGCTCCTTTGGCCCTTCGATCCCAAGATCATGGGAATAATGGGCCACTGTGGAAAGTTCTATACCGCCTGGGGCGCCAGTAGTCGTCAAGACTTGACTTGCTACGTTAGCTTGAGCATCGGTCGTTGGATTAGTGGCAACAGCGTCGGTTACTTGCTTGGTTCTTAAACAATGCCTGCACCCGAAATTCTTTGCGTCAATCTCTTTCTTGATGGCGGAGGCATGAACAGCATCTGAACCCAATAACTTCTTGGCCAACCCAAAGGTGTACGGGTATCCGCCTAAGAGCGAGGATATTTTCTCGACGTCCGACGTGAAATCCACCTGCATCTCTTCATGACGATGACTGTGGCCAATCTAACGAACTGTGAGAAAACACACGGAGATGAATCCTAGGTGGATCCCTTACAATGTTGCGGGTGTCCACGACCATCGGCGGATCGCAGGAGGTGCAAAGAGCAGCAATCCCAATCGTGAGGATGTAATGCCCAGCGTCTCTATCCTCTGGATAGCCTAGCGCCTGCAAAGTTTTACTGAGAACGTTGATGGCCTGTAACCAGATACATCAGCTATCGCGTCCTTGTAAGGAGAGGAGTGCTATCCTTTTCATCCTTGATGAAGATCTTTGCGTCCCAGACAGCCTTCTTCCCTTTCCGCAGCCTAACCTTCTTCTCACTCCCAACAAAACATTCATGGCGGCAAGCACCGGCAAAATCGAGGCAGCCGTCTTGACTGTACTTGGAGTCTACTCGATTGCAACGAGTACATAGAAGCCTAGCAGTGACTCTCTCCGCGGGGTGCACAACATTTTTGCTTGCGCTTTTCCAGTTCCTTGGGAAACCCAAGGTCTGGCTGATGTCCTGCTTTGCATTGTCTGCCCATTTTCTCAACTGACTTGCAAGCATCTCCTTCATAACGGGGTTGTTTTGGAGTGTTTCCGCAACTTTTGGGCCAGTAGCGTGAGATGGGGCACCTGGAAGCTTCTCGGCGGTCTGCAATAAACTGATGACCGGCAGAGTACGGAAGGTTACCAGGGATGGAAGATATTGGTACGTTTTCGCCGATCGAAGGCGATTATATACCCCTTCTACGTCTTTACGATTTTCCATGAGCGAGATCTCCGCGTTGCGCCTGTCACGTTTGTCGCCTACTGCAATAAGCTGGGATTCAATTTCTTCTTGCATGACCTTGACATCTAAGCCATAATATCAGCATTGTTTGTCGACAGGGGGTGACTGCAGCCATACCGGTTTCGTTGATGGTTTCACAGAGTCTGGATTTGTGCTTGTGATACGCGCCAAACACGGTGCAGTTCGTAAGATCGGAATAATCCCAGCCGTACTTGTTCGCAATAGTTTTGGCCCTTGAGCAAAAGGTTAATATAGACCTGATGGACCAGCACTTAACATGCACTTCTTTTCATTGGCATCTTTGTTCCGATGGTAAGAAAATTGACGAAGTTTCCGCCACTTCGACAATTTAACGCAGAACTGCAGATCAAATGCCTGAGATCAAGTTGCAGCGAATCATGAGTGGAATGAGAGCTTACTTCCATCCATTCCCGTTTTCGTACTTGAAGCAGGGCAAATTTCTAGAGAGATTGAGGTCTGAGATCAAAGAATCCCAAAGTTTCAAACCTACCTTCTTGTAGTCTTCGTCGTTTACTTTCTCTCTGTGTTCTCTTTTGGCGGCTTCTACGGCCTCACTCCGATAATGAATATGCATGTTCTGCTCAGTCTGCGGCCCTGTGATGCACGTAAGATGGAGACGTCAACAGAACGGGTCTGCGCACAGAAAGTGGGAGGGCTGAAGTTATCTGTTCCGGAATCAGATTATCTCAATTACATATTATGTTTTGAACGAGAACTCACTCATACAGGTGTTCGATTCAATCGTCGGGAGAATCGACAGAACCCCCAGGCCTTGAGAACCATTGTGCTGGTATCGCACAATCCCGCTGGAACAATAGTTTGTGGTCGTTCTAGCACATCAGCATTAAGGGGACATACGGAGGGGATTTGCAGCTGGACTATGTAAGCGGAAGGAAAGACAATGATAAAAGATCGTCAGGTCAAGTTGCGATTTTTCTGAGAACAGGGAAGCACGCACGTTCCGACATTTGCGTATACGGAGGGCAAAAGACTCGTAAAGTAAACCCGTCTCATTACCACAGCACTATTCCACAAATTTCAATGAAGTAGTACGCACAGCAAAGATAGGAACACTTACCTCGCACTTGCCTGAATCGAAAAGGAATGCTGCGTACGAAGATTCTGTGAAGAATTGTCGTGGAAGATCAGGCAGGCTGACAACAACCCTCCTATTCACCGGTGCATCTCCAGCAACGTTAGGACCTGCCGGTGCAGGAGGAGGAGGGAACCAAGACTGGAGGGTCTGCGCATCAAATGTCGGATTGTTCCCTATCTCGGGAACTACAAAAGAGCACCCCTTCCTAGCCTCTCGCCAGATGAATTCAGCGTCTGCGTTCAGGAGCGTATGACAAAGTGCTTTGCAGGTCCGTGCGATTGCCAGGACGTGTTGGGGCGAACCACTGAGGATGAGGACTTCTGAGAGGAGTTCAAGAGGAAGGGTGAGAAACGGAGAAGGCTTCTTGGCTTCAAAATATCCTGACAGGGCTACGGAAGGCTGAGAGTTGCCGGGAGCAACGGTGCTGGAATGGACATTCACAACAGAGACGGAAGAACCCCCGGCTGCGGACGCGATATCCGAATTCAGACGAGCTTTCTTGTTGGGCCGATGTCCATCGTCGTTGTCGTTGGCAGAATCTGGCGGGGTATCAGTATGGACAATCGAGAGCGCCTCGGTGTGTTGCTCCAGAGGGCTCAAGGACTGGCTTCCAGTACCTTCGACCCGACGTTTCTTGGTAGGCTGAATCGACTCCTCGCTCGCTTTGTCTTGAGGTGCTGATTCCGTATCGGTAGCGAATACCCCCGTGTTCAGAAGCTCCGACCCTCCCACTGACTTCTCGCCATCTTCCAGTCCTGCAGAATCATCATTGCTTAGGCGCCTCTTTCGAGAATTTGACGGGCCAGCGTCCAATTCTGCGCGACCCAAGAAAGGTGGGCCATCGATCGATACGGTCGCGATTTCTTCTCCTTCACTGGCTAGAGTGGATGTGGGTGTGAGCCTTGGAGAACCAGAATTCTGCATTTCGCTTTGTTGAGCAGAGAAAACAGTCGTCTGGGTCCCAGAATCGGATCCAGAGGCATATCGACTATTCCTGGAGTTCGTGTCTTGAGAGTGTTCCTCTCTTCCTGCCATATTTCTTTGGAAAATAGGATACTCGAAAACGACTGACGACGGGTGTCAAAACGGAGCACAAGTAGGCGAGAGTCAATGAAAAGTAATTTACCTTAGCGTGAACGAGCAAAGTTTTACAGGCTTCAATACTTGGGTAAATTTGCAAAGAATGAGAACCAAAATCAAAGGCCTTTCAGACAGTGGCTTCGACAGAAAAATATTAGAGCTCTTGAGCCAGAACAAAGGGCTGTGATAAGACTGCAGGCCTAAATATAAGCGCGGTGTGATGCTTATGTAAGAAACACGGTCGTTTGATCGCCACTATGATGTGCAGGTGCCCGCAATGCTCGCCATAAAAGCCTTCACATGAATCTCGACACTCCTTTCACAGAACACTGCCTCACTTTCTCAGAGTTGGGCTTGCTTCGAAAAGGTGCCATTGATAAGATTTTTCGTCCGTCACCCTTTTGGCACTCATTCGGCCTGAAGGCAACTTTCGAACAGTTACGGATCTGTTGTCAAATACAGTTCAGGATATTGCCAAGAAATGCAAGGCTTCACCACTTGAAATTAAGCGCATAGTTGAAAAAGTCCTCGATGCCACTCCTTACCATCATATATCGCGGCTGGACAATTTGCAGGACGAAAGCGAAGAGAAATTTACGACAGGTGATATCATCCTCGATGCAGCTCTGGGTGGGGGGATCAGGACTGGAATGGTCTGGGAAGTTGTAGGAGAAAGGTATGCTGATGTTTTCTTCGTCGACATGTTACTCACTTCCTTCCCAGCGCTGCAGGGAAAACCCAATTGGCCCTTCAACTGTCCCTTTTCGTTCAAGCTCCTTTAGAGCTGGGCGGGCTCTCAGCGTCTGTATGCTACTTGATCACGTCTGGTACCCTTCCCACATCGCGGCTTCTGCAGATAGCCAACGCCAAGGCGCTTCCGTCAACAGCCTGCAGTCTAGATAATGTCCATATATCGACTACTCCCAATGTGGCCATATTGGAACGAGTTCTGAGAGATATACTCCCTCCATTTATCGAGAAACAGACGCAAGGAGGCAAACCTGTGAAACTTGTCGTCATTGACGCTCTTGGAGAGCTCTTTCATTTACACAATGCAACGACTACCTCCACCTTGGTGGAACGGTCCAAGGACATCGCCAGGATATCTGCACAGCTGCATGGACTTGCAAGTCAATACCTTGTTGCTGTGCTTGTTTTGAACGAGGTTATCGATGTCTTTGATCGCCCTCGACGTAACTGGGATGGACAAGGCGATTTACTTTACGACACCCAATCGCGGTTGTTCAGCACCGCAGAATTCTTCGGCGACGGCAAGAAAGAGGCGTCTCTTGGTCTTGTTTGGGCAAATCAAGTTAACACAAGAATTATGCTTAGCCGAACAGGTCGGCGGCGATTTCTCAGTGGCGAAGAGTTGCCCAAAAGACGCTGCATTCAAGATGAAGAAGCACTAGTCCCACGAGCTGATCCACACGAGACACAAGCAACCCTGATCAGACGCCTGAGCGTCATTTTCAGTTCTGTGTCATCTCCCATGTCCTTGGACTACGTTGTCACTGAGGCTGGTATCTCTGCGTTGGGAAATAGTGTGGTGTACGCAACATCCTCAAACAACGACGAGGGTGTTTCTGCTCTGCCACCTTCCACCGGAGATGTTGTGGCGCCGCGCTCAACAGAACAAGCTCAAGTTCCTACGAGGACACATGGTGATGAATTCGAGCATTTGTGGGCTGAAGGTGATTCCTATGAAAACTTTGATTGGGATGCCTTGGAGGAGAACCTAGTAAGTCAGACTGTGACTTGATTTGGCTTAACGTAGACGATCTGCTGTATATGCGAAATGTAGACTATGTAATGTGTAGAATAGATGTAAGCATAAAATTGCTGGCTTTAAAGTCTGATGTCAACGAATTCGGACTTGGAGTGAGCAGTCCTATACGACTCCCGACTGGCGTCGCTTCCTCGCTCGAGATCGTCCACTTGATGCGCGGCCGGAGGAACCCCTATCGGGTAAGATAGACCCGGACCTTCTCGAAACTTGAATGGCTTGCGTTCTTTCCGCGCATAGGTACCCTTCTTCGAAGCGACGATAAGTCCAAAGACGCCTGCGATCCGGCGGCATTGATCAATAAGTATCCGATGTTTCTGGAGAGCTACTGGACGAGAACACTCACACAGACCCAATGAAAAGTAGGAGATAATTAACACCGCTTTGCTTGCAGCCGCTCCTCCCAGTGTTACGTAGTCATTGGCGAATGCTTCTGGTCTGAGGGCATCCATTATGTTAAACGCAGCTGCTTGGCCTTGGATGAGTGAGCCAGACGCAGAGCCAGACGCAGAGACAACGTCAAAGACAGGAAAATATCCTCACAGCTAGTAACAATGAATAAGAGGACAAACGTTGCGAAGTACACGTTGACATCTCTGTCCCTTCGTAGACGCCGCACTACGAAGTGGCCGAAACTGACACCGAGAGCCACAACATTGAGAGTTATGGTGCATATTTGGGTAACTAAAGGTAAAGGTTGGCTTCACATATTTGTATGAAGATTAAAAAACTACGAACTTCCAGTTGAGCCGAGTTCGTCATGAAGTGCAGCATATAGGGAGAGGCTGAAGACGATTGTATGGAGGATACTGATGATAACTGGAGGGCGCATAGGTAAGACTAGATTACAGCGAGATAGACTAGAAAACTCTTACGGATCAAGGATAAACGAATGAAATTCCAATGAGATGGTGTGATAGGCATGGTAGAAGTTGACGCTCTGCTCAGCAGAGGGGGGTCGTTGGACGGCGGGCAGTGAAAGAACGGAAAGAGGCCGGAAACGTAGCGATTGGAATATTGAGTATGACACACGCCTTATTATATACCCACCGACACTTGGATGCCACAGCCAACGCGAGCCACATAATCAACCAAGCGAAGGATGTTGGTGTCACACACCGAAAAAGGACAAAGACCTTCCCTTGACGCCACGAAGTATGGCCCGTTCAGAAGCAGTGTTCTCTGAAAGTGGCTTAAGTCCCATTGCCGAGATGAAGTTACACCTTGAGCAGAGCCGCAACTTTCACCGGCCCAACAATTGGGAGGGTGACAAAAAGTTTTGTTTCCTTTCGGGGATGAATGCGTCGAAACAATGAAATTTATGGGGTCGACATCGCAGAGGGCTGCAGAAACGAGGAATGGGTTAGAGATAGATGCGCAGGGAAGAATTCATGACGCACTGTGAACAAGTTTGCTAGATCCGACGGTTGCCAACTTGCGCAATAATCAGACGGAGATAAATAATACAACTTCGGCGCCATATATTGGTTGAAGAGAGAAAGTATAATACAAGTATATGTGAAGAAACAAGAAGAGTACGCGGAAGGGTATGCAGGAAAGGAGATAGGGTGCCTCTGGGAGAAGTATCGAGGGTAAATGGCAATGAATCTACGCACGATGCTCAACTCCCAATATCTCTATGATGTCTCATGAATGCCGCGATATAAGCTGAGAAATAAGACCGAAGATTCGCGCTTCATACGTCCTGAGGCAACTCAACCCAACCCTCTTGACCGAACGTATTCTCGCCTGAGTAGCTGACATAGAGGAAGTTATCCTCGTCCCTACATATTATGATGAGCGCCGAGGAATGGGAATAATGCATTAACAAATAGACTCACTTATGCTCCTCGTAGATAGCGCTCATAAGGGCTGCTGTAGGTGGCAGCACCTCGTCAACGAAGATGAAGATCGCCTTCTCGGGCGCCAACTTGATTCGCTTCCGGATAACATACACGAATTGGCCGACAGTCAGATCCTGGATAGAAAGAGTGAGTCCGAGATAGGTACAGCTGCGTCAAAGCAGACGCACAGATGGCACCAAATACTTCTTCTTGTCGATGGTGGGGATGTCCGTGCGATCCGCCTTCTCGCAGATCACCTATCGCAATTGTGCCACCAGGCAGAGCGCCAGTCAGCCAGAATAACGAGTAACTTGAATGCAAGAGACGAACAGGAATCCGATCTGGGTACTTCTGCCGGATACGCTCAGCCTCCGCCTTGCGCTTCTCTGGAAACAGCGACCGTAAATATGGATCTCCAGCGCTCCGTTGCGAGTGGCGGCTCACCGAAGGGGTGCTCATCCTTGAATTTAGACCTCATGTTGCGCGAGCGAAGGGGTATTTGTGGATAAGAAGGGTTGGATAGAGAAGAAAGGCGGTGGGCGGTAGTGGTTTAAAGGCAAGGTATGAAGCCAGAACAAGACACGCGCAGTCCACAAGTGATTCAAACAACAACCATCAACAAAGACCGCTCACGCCTCCTCGCTTTTATGGAAATCTATCCTCGTGTATTCAGGTAGACTCGGCCTGGCTAATTCCAGAGCAGGTAAATCGGATGCGTTGTAAGTCAGTGGATGACTTTCCTTAACGATCTGGAATTTCTAACTCCTTTTCCAACACAAATTCTTCGGGATTGCCCGAGTTTTGAAATCAAGCAGAGTGCTTTACAGAACCGTAACCACTTTTGTATCTAGAACTCGCATGCAGGCGTAAGTTGTTTGCTGCATTCTGTGGCTATGCTGATAAGATAAGAGATCGCATGGCTTCGGGCCTCCTGCAAGCCTCGCTACTACACCCATGGGCGATCTCATTGACACCTTGCTCAGCCATCTCGCTCTCGAGGAGGACGAATATTGGGATGAAGAAAATGATCGCCTGCAGAATGCAGGCCTCTCTGGGACTGCAATCTACTTGGAAGCACAAGAAAATCGGCGGCACCGCTCAGAGAACCGCAAACGCCTTTACCTCATCCGAAATGAACTGCTCCCAAATCCACGAGAAGGAACACCATGGCAGCGCTTGCATAGCAGCTCAAGTGATCGCGGATTTATTACGACTATGGGAATTGATGTCAGTACATTTGAGTACCTCCTCCAATCTGGTTTCGCTCTCCTTTGGAACACTACACCCATCCCCCGGCCTGATCAGCCTATGACAGCCCCGCCTCGGGTGAATAGTCGATCCCTTGATCCTGCTGGAGGCTTGGGGCTGATCCTTCACTACCTCAATTCGACAATGCGCGACGTTAGCTTAATGGAGATCTTTGCTCTCATTCCCAGCACCGTCAATCGCTACCTTGACTTCTGCCTCGACATTCTTCTTTCAGTGCTGCGACAAATTCCCGAGGGTGTTATCAGGTGGTTAGAAGGAGATGAATTCCAGGAGAACAACTCTCTTATTGTAGCCCGACACCCCCTCCTCATGGGGGCATTTGGTACCATGGATGGCCTCAATCTCCCTGTCCAGGAATCACCCGATCAAGAGATCGAGAACGCGACTTTCAATGGATGGCTCCATGAACACTTCGTGAGTTCTGTCATTGCTTTTGGAGCTACTGGTATGTAAAGTGCTTCCTTTCTCAATCTCGTTCTTACACAATTCTAACAGGGTCTATTATTGCTTGCCGAATGAATGCGCCAGGTAGTTGGCATGATGCACGTGTGGCTCGCCCTATTTTTGAAAAGCTACGCACGAAAACACCAGAGGGTTATTACCTTGTCACGGATACAGCCTTTCCTCGAGGAACAGATCAAATACAAGGTCGTATCAAAGCCCCAATGAAGAGCGGAACTCGTCTTCCAGCAGATGAGAAGGAAAGAGCCCAAGTCAAGGCCTTTGATCGTCAACTCCTCTCACTTCGCCAGGCAGCAGAATGGGGGATGCGTGGAATCCAGGGGTCCTTTGGGCGTCTCCGTATACCTTTGGACATAAATCATGTGTCTCGCCGGGGTGACATCTTGGAGGCCTGTGCACGGCTGTATCAAATTCGGGCTCGTCGAGTTGGCATCAATCAGATACGCAATGTGTACATGCCAATTTGGATGGAAGGAGATGAGCAAAGGCAAATATGGGAGCATTTCGAGGACATTTTGTTCAAGGATCAACGAAAACTTGATCGCGTAGCCCGCTTTCACTTGATAGAAACAGAAGAATAGATATATTGGTCTACATACTTTCCATAGTCTAGGGTGGGTATTCAAGAAAGTAAGAGGCGAAGGCGAGAGACACAATACTAGTAAGAAAGATAAGAGAAAGATGGTTCAATAATGTAATCTAAATTCTAAGCATCAGTGTTGGTGTCATCACGAGGAAGATCACTTCATCAGAAGGAGGGGCCCGAGGAGCACGGGTTGGGGTGTTGTCAATGGTAAACCGAACAGCAGGGGAAGTGTTGCGATAAAGTGTGGTGAGGGGATCTGTGGGGTCATCATCATCACTCCCCCCGGCCCAAGTGACATGACGCCCACCATCAGGATAAAGAGTTTCAAGGCGAACACGATGGCTGGGACTAGTATACCGGGTGTATCACGACGATTGCTGAAGTGTGGCGAGCGGCGAGAGGTGCGATGTGGAGTCCTGAGGAGATGGTGCTCTCGACGGCGACGAGAAGCTGATGGGCTTTCAAGCTCGTGTCGAGTGAACTGGCGGGTAGCAGCTTGGTAGGGATGGCGAT